TTAAATGTGAACATTAATTTGCAAAATTATTAAGAAAAAAAAATCAAAATGTGGAAAAAAGAGGAAAATATGATCTCTACGTCGAGGAGATGCCACGTCAGCATATCATGATTCTACTTTATAGATATATATAGATTCTAAGGTTTTGGGCTAATTATCATAGTAGCAAGTTGGGCCAAGGCCCAAGCAAAATAGAAGATTAGGCTTATTTTTATGTAGGATTAACATATTTATATAATTACATAGTAAAAGCATTAAATTAAGCTGCTAGTTCCCGATGGATGATCAGTCCAATCAGGCGTCGTAATGGAATGAAAGTGTCAGACACTACACCATCTCATTTCCATGTAACCAGAGATATCTGGTATTCTGCTTTATCCTGTAACCACTGTAATTGGTATTCGACTTTATCCGGTAACCATTGTAAATGGTATTCGGTTCAAAGGATGCATCCAACGTTTGCCATTCGACTTAGCCATATCCCTTACGAGAACGTCATGACTATTTTAGCCATCATGGAGGCGTCTCAACACACGTGCTCCGAGTATGAGCCTAGTCAAAGTTAAAGTATATAAACTTAAACTCAAACTTAATTAATCATATTAAAATAATTAAACACGGGATAACTAAAATACAAAACCATGAGGTTTTCAAATCAATTAATCGGCAAAAATAATAAAAGTTACCATTAACAGATCGAAGTTCTTAAACATACAAAGTATTTAAGATAAGACATCCCATAAACAGAAAAGAATCTGGATAACATCTTGATAACCTCCACTTTTGTGGATGTATACCATGATCAAGATTTTACGGAATGGATAATCACTACAATTGATTACCCACATACTAAGAATGTAGATACTCGTATCTTGGAGATGATTTAGAAATGATCGTACAAAACTTGAGGCTTAAGAACGATTACTTCCTTCCGGATTACCTACACTTATTAGCAAGAGGCTTTTAGACAATTTTCAATAACACTTCTCATCAATTTCAAGTTCCTACAATCCATTACGTTTTCATAGAACCTATTGACCTTCAAACATGCTTAACATACCACTAGGACACTTAGGGGCCATTTACCAAACGCTTACCCGAGTAAGCGCTTACCAAGTAACATTACCTCACCGTATGAATATGGTAAAAACCAAGAATCTTACCTGGTAAGAGTGAGACAAGGACCAAGAGTCTTACCTGGTAAGTGTGGGCAATGACTCTTACCATGGTAATCGCTTACTGGGTACATTGTTGCATATGATGTCGTTTTTGTGGACAAAAATCTTACCCGGTAAGTAAATAATAGTGTTAAATTTTACCGGTAAACACTTACCAGGTGAGTATTTGGTTAACGGCCCCTTAGTAAACATATAACACAATGCTTAAGACCATAAACAACATTTGCTAACATCCAATTTTCACAATTCCAAATATTAGCTAAGAGATTCTATACACCAAGACCTTTTCTCATACTTAGATGTTGAACCAAACTTTCTTATCAAAACGAAAGTTGTATATATACCTCTTAGGATTTCAAAGCAATTGGATTCACATAATTTGGAGCTCTGGTTATTTTATAAAGAATTTATACAAACAAAGTGCAATTTCGTGTGGCTGCAAACAGGGTCTGGAAAATCAAAGATTTCAAGCCACTTAGAGTTCGAATTAGGTTATGCGTAAACGACAAAGTTGTAGATAACTCTGATACCTTTTTAACTATATAAATAAATCATCCATTGGACAAACGGTTGATTTTATACGAATTTTCAAACTTAGTGGAATGAATCTGCCACTTCTAACAGCACCAAACTTAAAGAAATTCCACCTCAATTCATCAACCTTCCACTTATGTTCATGAATAAACTTAGGATTTAACCCTCTTGTCCCAAAATTGAAGAAATCACAAAAATTAAACCATAAACATACCTTATTTTGAGTCCCTAATTCCAATTCCTATATCAAGATTTGAGAAGGAACTTTGAGATTTTGAGAGTTACAGGTTTTTCCAGAGAGAGGGAGAAGGGATCGTGAGCTAAGGAGAGAGACGAAATCTGAATTTGGTTTAAGAAAATAAATTTCAAATGTATATTTTCAACTTTTACAATCTAACCCTTGATCTTTAACTTATTTGTGATATAATTTTACTTTGGTGATTTCTTTACAGTTTTGGTCCTAACCAAGATTGTTTCAACCAACATGGTCCTTAAGAATAAATTATAAAGAGCTTGGTCCTAGTAAACAACTCTTGAAGGCTAAGGTACAAATCAACAAAGCACAATTTCATAAATTGAACACATTTGGGCTTTCGGCTACGAGATTGGATTTACTAAATACGGGGTATTATATCGTTGATTTTTGTTTCACCTATTTTGGTGGGACAAATAAATGCACTTTTGTACTGGTTGTTGTACTGTCCCAGTCAAATTTTGTGTCAACCATGAAATGATTGTTTTTTATTCTGTCTTGTTCTACATGCCGAACACATTATGTGAAGTGGTATAATCTAAAATACACATAAAGAACCTACTTATTGTGCTCAATAAGACACTAGATACCAAAAAAAAAATCATTTCAACATAGACGAGTAGTTTCGATGTTTCATTAGTAGACAACACATTTTCAAGGAAAATGGCATGATTTGATTTTTCCAAGCCGAGCTTGATCAGGTTTTTCTAGACTTAACTGGGCTTTTCAGACCGGACATTTTTGGACCAGGCCTGCCCCTGAAATTTCTGCTTGATCGAGCTTTATGTAACAACTCGTCCCACATAGACAAAATAGTAGATTTGTGAAGTTCTTATAAGCTCAAAGTTGTGGATTACAATAATTCCCACCATGGTTTTAAGTTAGATTAGAAGTTATAAAAGCTAGTATGTTGCTTTGTGCTTGATGTGTTACAGATAATATCAGAACCAGAAACCTGACTAGTGTCCCAACGAGGACGCTAGACTCCCAAAGGTTAGACTATAAGATCTCAAATCGGTTGGGGATAGGAACAAACGTTGCCATATAAGGAACTTGACACCTCATCTGTTATATACGTTTTAAAAACACGAGTTCATGTATAGATAAAACAGACAATATCTAGTACAATTAACTTAAGATGTTGGACTCCGAGATGTGGGCAACATCAGTCCCATTAAATTAGTTGGATAGAAAATGTATGGATATGTACCTTGGCATCAAATTTTGTGAAAAAAATAAAGCTTTTACATGTGAAAAGAAGTCTTTAAGCCCATACCAAATAATGTACCATCAAATATAGTCTATAATTTGTTTTCCCATTTTCATGTCTAAAATAGAGGTGTTGAAATGTTCTTTTTGTTGTCACAATTTTCATTTAAACATATTTTAATATTTATTTAAAATTTATGAAATACAAACAATTATTTCATTTATATAAAAAAAAATTCATAATAAATTATTATTAATTATTTTTTATTCTATTTAAATAAAACAAATTCACCTATATATATAATAAATTATTATTTCATTTAAATAAAACAAATTCACATCATCTTTTTCTATATTTTATTAATTATTTTTTATGATAAAACACAAAAAACAAAATCCATTTTATTCATGAATGGAAGTTGATTAAAATGTATCCTTAAAACAAAAACAAATTCAACAAAAAACAACCCTTATTTGACTCTCACTCCCCCTTTACACTTTATACCACATCTCTCTTCTCTTTCTCTCTCCCCCCTTTCTAAACACAAAGAAACTTCCTCCCAACAACCACAAACAACCCACCTTAAACTCGCCGGAGCCACCATGGACCACCGCCAGTTCTTTGAATTCCGGCCAACCTCCATTTACACTTCTTACTACGCCTAAAACAATGCTAGGTGATAAAAATAAAGAAACCCCTCGATTTTTCAATCACACCCCACCTTAACAAAATCATTTCCACAAAAAACCCACAAATCTTTTCTTTAATTCAAGTTAATCTTTTGCTTTCATTGTTGAAATCAAGAAATCTGAGGTCTCGCCGGAAAAAATGGCGGGTGCGGGTGCGCCAAGTAATTCCAATACTCAACAATCACCACCACCACCACCACCACCGCCGCCGCCACCATCACCACCACCGGAGTCAACGGACGAGGCGGCGGCGAAGATTGTTCATAAACGATTCGAGGGTCTAATGATGGTCCGTACAAAAGCCATAAAAGGGAAAGGAGCTTGGTATTGGACTCATCTTGAGCCGATTCTGGTTCAGAATCCCGACACCGGTTTACCGAAATCCGTCAAACTCCGGTGTTCGTTGTGTAGTGCGGTGTTCTCCGCCTCTAATCCGTCGCGAACCGCCTCCGAGCATCTGAAAAGAGGAACTTGTCCGAATTTCAGCTCCGACACAAATCCGAAACCGATTTCGACATTTTCACCTACCGGAATTATCAATTTATCGTCGCCGATGTCGTCTTCTTCTCCTCAACCTCAAAAAAACCACCGGAAACGTAACTCCGGCAACCGTACCAGCCGCCATAGCACCACCACTTACTCGGTTGCTCCACTTACAATGATCGAACCCGCCCGTTTCTCAATCGACGGGTCGGGTTATACCCGAACCGATTCCATGCCAGCATTGCCGCCACCGACGGTTATGCCGGTAAGCAGTAGTGGGTTGTACTCTCAACTGCACCACCAGCCGCAGCCTTCGACGGTGGCGACGGCAGCAACAGCGGCGATGATTTTATCCGGTGGGAAAGAGGATTTGAGTGCTTTAGCTATGTTTGAAGATAGTGTGAAGAAGCTAAAAACTCCGAAATCATCACCGGGTCAAATTTTAACGAAATCCCAAATAGATTCATCGTTCGAATTATTAGCAGATTGGGTTTATGAAAATTGTGGGTCGATTTCGTTTTCGAGTTTAGATCATCCAAAATTCAAGACTTTCTTGAATCACCTCGGTTTGCCGGCGATTTCCCGGCGGGAACTCGCCGGAGAGAGACTTGATTCCAAGTATCAAAATGCGAAATTGGAATCAGAAGCTCGAATTCGCGACGCAATGTTCTTTCAAATCTCATCAGATGGATGGAAATCGAAGAATTATCATCAACGTCATCATAGTTCGTCAGGTGAGCTTGAGAATTTGGTGAATTTATCGGTGAATTTGCCGAACGGAAGTAGTGTTTTCCAGCGAGCTGTTTTTACAAATGGGTATGTTTTTTCGAAGAATGCAGAAGATGTTTTAATGGAAACGATTATAGAGATTTGTGGGAATAATTTGCAACAATGTGTAGGGATTGTTTCAGATAAATTCAAATCAAAAGCTTTAAAGCATCTTGAAAACCAACATCAATGGATGATCAATCTTTCTTGTCAGTTTCAAGGGGTTAACAATTTGATCAAAGATTTTAATAAAGAACTACAATTATTCAAAATTGTGACTGATAATTGTCTGAAAGTATCAAACTTTGTTAATACTAGATCTCAGATTAGAAGTTCTTTTCTCAAATATCAGTTTCAAGAATCCGGCCGAGCGGGTTTGCTTCGAGTACCATTTACGGGTGGTGGTGGTGGTGGTGGTGGTGGTGGTGGTATCGGGAGATTTGAATTCGAACCGGTGTTTAATATGGTTGAAGATGTCTTAAGCTCAGCTAGATCATTGCAATTGGTTTTACTCGATGAGAATTACCAAAAACTCGCCATTGACGATCATGTCGGAAGGGAGATCGAAGAAATATTGAGAAACCCTCAATTTTGGAGGGAACTAGAGGCGGTTCATTCGTTAGTTAAGTTGATTAAAGGAATGGCTCAAGAGATCGAGAAAGAAAGGCCGAGAGTCGGTCAATGTTTGCCGCTTTGGGAAGAACTCAGAGTCAAAATCAAAGATTGGTGCTTGAAGTTTCAGATCAATGAGAATCATGTAGACAAGGTGTTTGACAAAAGGTTTAGGAGAAACTATCATCCAGCTTGGGCTGCTGCATTCATCCTTGATCCATTTTATTTGATTAGAGATCGAAGTGGGAAGTATTTGCCACCTTTCAAATGCTTGACATCCGATCAAGAAAAAGATGTCGATAAACTTATAACACGGCTCGTTTCTAGAGAAGAAGCTCATATCGCGTTAATGGAGCTTATGAAATGGAGAACCGAAGGTCTCGATCCAGTTTATGCTCAAGCCGTGCAGCTAAAACAGCGAGATCCCGTTAGCGGTAAAATGAAAATCGTGAACCCGCAAAGCAGTCGATTGGTTTGGGAAACTTATTTAACCGATTTCAATTCTTTGAGAAAAGTTGCGGTGAGATTGATCTTTCTTCATGCCACTTCTTGTGGGTTCAAATGGAATTGGTCTTTTTCGAGATTCGCTCAGTTTAGGGACGGTATCGAGAAGGCTCAGAAACTGATATTTATTGCCGCTAATTCGAAGCTCAAGAGATGGGATTTTTCGAACAACGATGATAAAGATGCGGACTTCTTCGCGGTGGCTAACGGTGAGGATGATATGCTCAACGAGGTTTTGTTCGATGCATCCTCTCCGTAAAAATTCGACCTTTTTCTTGCTTTTTGATGATATTATTCATAGTTTATGCAGGATTTTTCTCTTGAAGTTGTTTATATTACTACTTGGGTATTTCATTCATCAATCTTTTTAGATGATTTGGGAGTCCTTTCTTGAAGTTTTTGAGTTTTCTCATTTCTTGAGGTTGAAATGGTCATTTTTTCAAGAAATCTTGTTTGATTGAATAAAGATTGTGGCATCATTGGTGACAATCTTGATAATTTTAGAGCATAATTCCCACATTGCCCTTTCATGAATTTGATATATTCTTTCATATATGTTAGTGTCTCACATCAGCTAGACTTGACCATCTCTGTTTTCATATACGTTGGAACCTCATTTCTCTACTCAAAACTCTTTCTTGAAAAGTAATCTGATGAGGTTCACGTATTCCCACATGGTATTTGAGTCAGATCTACTACTCTGGGGACTTAACACTATGATATAATTTGTGCCCCGTCTTAAATTAGTTATAGGGGCGTGTTGGAGTCTCACATCAACTAGACTTTAACCACTTCTCTTCCATGTATTTTGGAACTTTCCTTCTATTTTTAAGGGCTTTTTTGGAAAATATTCTAATGGGGTTTCACATATTCTAATATTCTATTACAAATTTCCGCATTCAGACCCATTTCATTAACAAGGTACCAAATTAAAAGTCCGCAACTTTTCTTCCTAATTTTTTGTCATATACAATTCAAAATCGGGTACTAACGATTTTTGCCTATCTCTTACAGGGTTAACGCCTACCGAAATCGCAAAAAAGAGTACTTTTTGATCTCTTGAAGTAACCGGCAACCAAGAATTGGTGTTGTAACGGCAATTTGTGCATACTTCCTGCTTGTATAAATACAGGTAAAATCCACAACGACGCTATAGAGTCATCAAAAACTTGTACGTTTCGGTGTTCTTGGTCTCGTTTTGCTTACGTCACAAAAAAAAATCAGCTTTATAGAACACCAAAAATGTCTTAATGTCTTGATAGATTAGTTTATAAGACTAAAAGTATATTAGGTCAGAGTCAAACTGAAGGCTAGAAGTTCCAAGTTCACGCATGATTACATGCGATACGAACACGTATTCGTATATGAATACACCACATGTCGCTTTGACGGGTATAAAGTAGGCGACCTTTGGTTGTGTTCACCAAGTCGCCAATGTCCTTATTGGGCGTGTTGTATAATATATGATTAGATGTTCATATCACATGTGATCATGTATGATCTTGGAGCTTCTCTTCTTCTCATAAACTGATCAACTTCGTGCATGATCCTCCCTCTAAGCATATAAATACCGAGAATTATGATTTTATAAACTCGCGTCCTATAAAGCAGTCTATTAAGACATTTTAGACATATTTAAGGTCGTTTATATAATGATTACTAGCTTCTTGACTTTGCAGATGGCAATTTGGTGATGTGGGCATGAGTGATTAAAGTGGGTTTTTGGGAAAGGAATCCAAAGAGAGAAAAAAAGCAAGAATTCTTCTTTTGGTGGTATTTGGTCAAAGAAACACAAGCCTTGGAAGGACCAAAATGCAAAGATTTTCCATCAAAAGGGGCTAAATTGTCAAGTTTGTTTCTTTATTGCCAACCAATGAAAAGCAAAGTGCAAGTCTCTTTCCAATCAAGTGAAAGAAAGACAACAAATGTCAAATGGGGATCAAATTGGAGCATCATGAATCTTTGAGGGGCTAAAATGGAAATAAAGAAATTATCAATTTCTACCTCATACAATAAAAAGTATGCATTATTTTGGATTTTATCCATTATTTGGGAAAAAAGGGTGTTTGAAGAAAGCTTGGCTAACGATGTACCGAAGCGCAGGGAGGTTTGTCGGCCCGACGCAACCGATAAAGACGTGTTGATTGTGATTTTGTGATTATGCAATATCTCAAACTTGAAGGAATAATGTGTAATACTGATATATTAACATCAGATATAGTGTAAATGAATATTGTGACATCTGAGTCTGGTTTTTTACTATTTATTACACTGTTTTAGTGTGAATTATAATGTGTTCATTTGAGACGAAAATTGTTTTTTATTGTATAATTGGTATTAATTTTGTATTTTTATTGCATGGAACCCGTCCTATAGGAACTACATGAGGAGACATTTCAAATATGACTTAACAGTTGAAGGGTTCAATCCCGTTTTTTGGAAGATTCAAATTTGAATCTGTTGTATATTTGAGTAAAGTTACTCGGTCCATTTACCAACTGTTCTACATACTAAAAGACTGATAATTTATTGAATATTAGGGAGTTGTTTGACAGTTGCTAAATGGTTTTGTGCAGATTGATTAAGTGGTCAGAATGATTAAGAGTCTCTCATGATATAATACAAAATTGTTTACGATTGAATTAGAATGCTAAATGGTTAAGGAAGACCCATAATACAAAATCATTCAAAGGGTTTGAAAACTATTAAAGACAGACGTTTTTTTATCAAACAAGATTCAACTCATAACGATTCAGATATTATCTTTTAATGAAACTATTAAAAGGTAAACAAACATTACTACATTAAATCACATTATTATAACACGATTTTAATTAATTAATTAATTTAGTATTATAATAATAATAAAAACGTGAAAAGTTTTGATTATTTATTTATATTTACGGGGTTTTGGAAAAATAGACTTGATCTTGCTGTCTCATTCACATGAGTCATGAAATTTATTTATTTAATTTTTTTTGAATTTCTTTTTAAAAAAAATATGACGTTGTTCGATGCTTATTCATCGGAAATATTGCTTTATGTGGAAAAATACGTCATTTTTATTTAATACTTTACTTGTATTTTAATAGATATATTATTTAATATTTTAAAATATAATAATTTTGGTATTTTATTTTGTCATTATTAAATGTATTTTAAACCTTAAATCAATATTGGAATAATTTTTTTGGAATTATATATAATATTTATATACAGTAAATGAAACTCGTATTTACTTCATCTTCGATGGAGTTTGAATTTTTGACCTCCTGAGATGTTCGACTTTACCAGTAATTCAGATACAGCTAGATCATATGTCCTCTAGTCATGTTATTATTAAGCCATATAATCGAATCAGATGTTATGTATCTTTTTGGACTGTGAAAGTTGTTTGATTTGTCTTTATCATTAACTCAATAATTAATTTTAAAGATTTTAAATCCTTAATGGTAAAATGCTAAATTAATTTGTTGAATTCCCACTATGGTATACCAAAAAAATAATTTTTATATAATATAATATAAATTAAATAACAATTACTTTATACCATTAAGAAATATATATATATATATATATATAGAGAGAGAGAGAGAGAGAGAGAGATGGGTTTAGGTGAGACCACATTTTTACACTTGAAATTTCACATCAAAACGTTGTAAAAGTAAAAAAAAAAAAAAAAAACTGAATCTTCACAGCAAAAACATTGTGAATGTTACTTTCACAGTGTTTTCTTGTGAAGTTTCAAGTGTAAAAATGTTGTCTCACGTGTCTCATGAAAACAACATTATCTCATATGATTCCAAGTTTCTCTCTCTCTCTCTCTCTCTCTCTCTATATATATATATATATATATATATAGAGAGAGAGAGAGAGAGAGAGAGAGATAGAGAGTGAGTGAGGAGCGATCAAATGCAAATAACTCATATTTGTACAAACCGTGCAAACCACACTCATCCTTCGATTTTATTGTTTAATTTTATGAATTTTTTTCATGAAATTGTTTACTCTTACAAAATTGTTTCATATAATACTTTTTTTTGATGAAATTGTTTCATATATGATTATGAAATCGTTTCATATACTACTTATGAAATTTTAATGAAATTGTTTCATATATTTCTCTAAAATTATTATACTGAAGATGATAATATACATGATTAACATTCTCCACAATAAAAATGATTAATCAACCTCCACAATTAACACCCTCCACAATTAAAATTTTTCATAAGATTAAACAATGAAATCGACAGATGAAGATGATTTGCACGGTTTGTATAAATATGGGTGGTTTGCATTTGATCGCTCTTCTATATATATATATATATATATATATGTATAGACTTGGGATCACGTGAGACCAACCTGTTTTCATGAAACAATTTCTTTACACTCGAAATTTCACACCAACACGCTGTGAAGGTAACCTCCACAATGTTTTTGCTGTGAAGGATCGACTTTTTTTATCTTCACAACGTTTTGCTGTAAAGTTTAAAGTACAAAAAAATTGGTCTCGACCCGAAAACATGTTGGTCTCACGTAAATCCAACCCCATATATATATATATATATACATATATATATATACATATATATATATACATATATATATATATATATACATATATATATATATATATATATGTGTGTGTGTGTAGAGTAATTAATAATTGTAAACCATGTACATGCAACTATTCCAAAAAGGCCAAATTGATCATCACAATGAATCATTGCCAAAGGATGGGTGTTATGTCACAAATCCACTTTATGCTAAAGCAATCCCTCTCAATAATTATAAAAAAGCTTCCACGCTATTTCATTATTAAATTCTAAAAACACTTTTTTATTCTATATATTACAATAAACAAAATTGATCTTAAACCTCTTTTATTTCAAAATCATAAAAACCGTTTCGTTTCGTTGTGTACGAGATTCGAATTTTGTTTGGTTCGACGTGACTGTGTGTCACCAAGCTTTCAAGAAGGTTAAAGTTGAGACATATGAGAAAGCAGATGAAGCGTCGAAGAGATAGATTTACGACATAAAAACGGGTGGTTTAAAATCAAGATCACCCATCACTTCTTATGAACAAATACCCTTGTTATAATATTATTGATATTTAGTTCTGTAATATTCTTAGAACTGGCCGCCCTCTCTCTCACACTGTAACGAGTCATTGTTATAAAAGTAAACCATAGTAAATAAAATACATGGTTAATCAGTTATTATAAATATCATAGACGAACTTGATTATAACTACTAGAGATTCATAATTACCGAGAACTGAAAAGACTGGTTACAAGTCAAGATCAGTTAAAAGTTGTAATATCATAGGCAAATGTCAGATCGCCGATGAATAAAAAGGTTTCTAGATAAACCTGACTAGAGAATCTACAATTCAAGTGAGGGAGTTTATGACAACTCATCATATACTGATGAAAATCATAAACTCATTATAAACCTTAAGTTATGCATAACATAAACTTCAACCACAATTTTAAATCGAATACAAAGGTTATCAGACAAGCCCAACACGGAAATCAGGAATTTAAGGCAGTGGGTTTGTGACAGCTCATCCAAAATCGAGGGAATAAGATTTGTACTCTCGTCATAAACCTTAATTTGTAGATAACAAGCAACTTCCACCATGATTTTGAGCTGATCAAAGAGTTACTTGACTGGTTTCTTACATAAAAACAAAATCAAGCATTATCAAAACCGTTGAACCCAAATCAGATATTGTTTTAGTGACTAACAGTATTAGGATCAAACGTATAAGAACGAACCCAGTAATTAATCAGTATATAAAAACATAAAAGTTTGAAGAAATTAGGTGAGTCATGATAGTTTTATTCTAGAAAAAGTAGAAATAGAAAATGAGAGTAGATGTGTGACATAAAAATGTGACTTTTGTGGGTGAGGGAAATGAGTAGAGTAGAAATAATAGAGGGTGTAAAAGGGAAATAGTACAAACAATTAGGTCCCTTGTTTTTATAAATGAGGGACCAATTTAGTATTCACCTAATTAATTACTACTATTAATTACACTTTTTACTCCAATATTTCTCATTACTGTCGGCAAGGTATATCTCATGGGACTTGGGATCATGTGAGACAAGGTTGTTTTCATGAGACATGATTTTTACGTTTGAAACTTTACAACAAAATACTATGAAGATAACCTTCACAATGTTTTTGGTGTGAAAATTTAGCTTTTTTTTTTACCTTAACAATATTTTGTATGTGAAGTTTCAAGTGTAAAAATCGTGTCTCACTTGTCCAATGAAAATAATCTTGTCTCACGTGAACCAAACCCTCTATAGTGGTGGAGCTTCTAAAAACTTTATTTGTTTTTTTTTTTTTTCTAACTATAATATTGAAAACTTAATAAAATTAAAATCTTAATAAAACTCCATAATGAAAGTTCTTATAAAAATCTCATTTTTCATTTTTTAATTTATAAAAATGTGTAATTTTATTAATAGATTATTATATATATATATATATATATATATATATTGTGTTCATAATGTGTTCATTTTATATGCACATTTAATTATGCGTCTGTATATTACGGGGAGAAGAGATAGGATAGGAGAGGAGATATACATATACATATGTATGAAAATTCCTAAAAAATGCATTTGTTTTTATTTAATAAATGACATAATTATGTATTTAATTATCTCATTAATTAATATAATAATTATATTAAATTAATTGCTTATGATTCATCTCATAGATCTTTTAAATTTTGAAGTTCTCGAATAATTAAACCCCTATATATAATAGATTTTTGAAAAAACTAATATATTTTATATTTTGCCCCAACAAATTCCTTTATATTAATTTTCTATCTATTTTCACCAATAAAACTGAATTATTATTGTTATATATATACATACATACATATAGATATATATATATATTAATAATACAATTAATATTTAAATAATTAAAATAGAGGATCTGTTGTGGTCTAAATGTAAATTTTTTTTAGAGCTTTTAACTTTTGTTTCTCAAAACAAAAAGATCAACGTTTTGTATAATTTTTTGGTCAGAAGTTTAGTTTTCGAGCTTTGCATATTTTTGACCGTCACAAATTAACGACGATCTAATGATAATATAAATATATATTATCTTATTTTTATGGTTGGATTAATCATGTTCATGATTACTTTATTTTTTATATCGAATAACCAACTTTTTTATCGCAAAAGTGACATAAATATACTTATTCTTTTTTAAGTAAAAATCAACAATT